ACTGCAGAAACAAAGTGATGACCCCAGTGCTGTTCAGCCAAAGAGAGGGAAGTTCCAACAGCACAGTCCTGCTGAAACCTCCTGCCACGACTCAGTAACACCCTGAGATGCCGAAACTCTGTTTTGGGCCAGGAAGCATGGTGGAAAAGGGAAGGAAACACCCTAAGCAAAATCCAGATTCTCTGGGATGTGAAATATTTCAAAATAAAACATGAGGAAAAGTCAAGTTGAGAGGAAGGTCTAGACACTGAGTGTAAGGACAGGCTGGAGACCAGAGGAAACTGCTTTTCCCAGGTCAGTTCTGCTTCTCAGAGGCTCCTGCCAGCCTCAAGTCACCACCCAGCAACCTCAGGTCTCTGCCATGCCATGGTTCCCACTGAGCCACAGCCTCCTGCAGTGCTGGGCTCCTTTACCCAAGCCCCCCACCTCCAAACCCCAGGTGTATTCCAGGACACACATCCCAGCTGAGCCAGGGTCACTGCTGAGAGCCTTGGCTGTGTGCCCCAAATCGCTCAAGAGATTTTTCTTGGGATCTTCCAGCAGCAGCGTCAGAGGCAGCACCACCCAGGTTCCAGGGCTGCTTGTGTGTTACACTCGTGGATAAAAGCCTGAACTCCTCTGGGTACCCTCCTTCCTCCTGCTGTTGGTGTGTAAGCTCTATTTGTGTGGTTCCCAAACCAGCCATGCCAGTGCAAAGCAATGTCACCCAGCTTAATGTGTGAGCTCCAAAGCCCAGCTCAGTCCTGAAGAGACAGTAATTAATATTTTCCCATCTCCTCCAAGCAGGAATGCATAGGAGCTCACCTGAGCTGTTACCCTGCCAACTACTCCTGATCAGGCTCCTCTTCCCACCACTATGTTCTCACCCTGAAGAAGGAAGAGAAACCAGGCAATATCCAAAATAAAATAATAAAATACACATTACCTTTGCCCCTGGGCAGGAAACCTAGCAGCTGATCATCTTCCTTTGAGGAGACAAAGCAGTTAAACAACAAACCACATGGCAGCAATGGTGGTGAGAAACGAAGGACTTCATGAACTTTCTGTCCAGGGTCAGCATCTTGTAACCCCCAGAGTCACTGCAGGAGCCAAATCAGGCAGCTCTGGTTCCAGGGTACACACAGAGCTGTGAGCCCAGGGTGGATGGAGCTCCCCTTTAGCCTATCCCCGTGGTAACTACCTAAAGTGTTCACATTTGCTGTCTCTGCAAGCAGAGGGAGCAGGGGCTGGGAGCACACCCAGACCTCGCAGGCACCGAGCGCTGTCCCCAGTGCCCTCACCCAGCTCCCACCAGCCCTGGCACGGTGGCAGAGCTCTGTGTTAGCTCTGCCCTGCCTGGCTGGGCTGGGGGCTCTCTGCCAGCTGGGCTGCTGCCAAGGCAGCAATTCCAGTCCTGCAAATTCCAGAGCTGGAGCAGCTTCCAGCTCTGCCTGCCCAACCTTAACGCTTTCACCACTGCCCCTCTCCCACAGCACAGAGTGACCCCTCTCTCTGCCACAGAGCATCCAGAAGGGTGCAAGAGGGGGTAGCAAACCCATCAGGAACTCCAGAGCAACCTGGCACCAGCCAGGGCACAGCCCAAATGGAGGAACAGCACAGGCACCTTCTGAGATACCATTGAGGGCTTTACCTGTGTCCCTGGCAGGCGTGTCCCTGCTTCCCTGTGTTCAAGGTGACAGCATTTCCCTGCCCTCCAGCAGTAACACATGAAACACAGGAGCAGACTTAAGGGACACTGGTGTCTGTATGTGTGTGGGCAAGGTCCTGTCACAGGCTGCTTTGATTGTGGTTGTCCTGTGCTGCTGGGGCAGGAGTTGGAACTGATGATCCTTGTGGATCCCTTCCAGCCCAGGATGTTCTCTGACTCTACACCCTCTGAGCAGAGCTCCAGGCTCCCAGCCAGCACTCAGCTGAACAGAAAATCCACTTCACCTTATATTCCTAAAGCCCAGATATGTATTTAAGGGTGAAAAAGTACATGTATAAGAGGCATGAAAAGACATGTAAGGTGCTGTACACCACATATGAGGAGTGGAGTAGGGATTCCTGGCCAATGGACATTCCTGGGAGCACGCCACTAGTGTGGTGGGATGCTGAGGGAAGTTTGCTGCACACACACAGAGCTCCCCCTCATTTGGGACAGCCACTAGGACCTGACTCCCCCAACAGCTGCCAGGCTGGGGTGAAGAAGCTGTTGGGTGCACAGGATGAACTCCAGGTGGAGAAGCTGTGGGTGCACAGGATGAACTCCAGGTGGAAAAGCTGTGGGTGCACAGGATGAACTCCAGGTGGAGAAGCTGTGGGTGCACAGGATGAACTCCTCCACATTCCACCTTGCACTGTAGCTCAGCAGAGCCAACATCCATCCCCGGCCCGTGGCCAACGTGGAGAGAGGACCAGGACCCACCACAGGCACTTACAGAGCTCTGTGTCCCCCATGTGCTGTGCTGGTTTGGATCCCCCAGCTCCAAGGTGTGCAGCATGCAGACAGGAGCACCAGGAGATGGCCAGGAGCCACTGGCCACAGAGGTCTCCCAGCAGGCTGCTGCACAGCCAGCACACAGCAGTGGAATTACCAAGCAGGCTGCTCCTCCTTGCTGTCTGACCTTCCTTTCCTTCTTTAACACACACGTGGCCTAATGAAAGCTCCATGGAGTGGTGGCTGCTCCACCAGCTCCCTGCCCAGCCACTCCAGCTAAGCAAACACTGCTGGGAGTGGGAGGCCCTGGAGATGGAGAAAGACCATGCCTGGGAGAAGCACTGCACTCCTCCACCTCTGCTGGCAGCCAGCAGCAGAGACAGATTAGAGCTGATTGGAGTTACCAGCATTAAATAAACATGCTTGCCTTCTTTGAAGTTCTGCTTCCCTTGAACATGAGCTAATTCCACTAGGCCTCTTTTTGCTCAGCCCCAGGAAGCCACAGGGTTACTCACTCTCCATGGAGTTAACTCTTCAGTGGATTCCCCAACTTCCACAAAGGCCTCACACACTCAGTCCAGTATATGAGCACAGACCAGTTTACCACAGCAGCACTTGACTGCCTGCATGCCTCTCCAGTTCTCTTTAAGAGGAATTCCCACCAGGAAAGGGAAACTGCCTGACTCCACCACATGGTCCTGCAGGCTGGCACATGGAGAAGGTTTACTGCAGCTCAAGGAAAGGGCAATTCCTCTGTGGTGATGCATCCTCCCACCCTGCCAAGAGCAGCACTCTCAGGCCTGGGAGGACTGTGCTCAACCCTCCACCACAGCAGGGCTGAGGAAACATGGAAGGAATTTCATTAGAGAAAGTTCCCAATACTCTGTTCTTTTGGTTTAATCCCACAAAGTGCAAGTCAGAAATTCTTGGTCAGGAGAGGGAGCAGACAGTCACAGAGGGAGAAGTAAAAGCACAAAGACAAGGCTGATCTCAACTTCCTGGCATTTTTTCATGGCTCGTGCAACCCCTGCCAACCCCTGCTCTTGTCCCAGGAGCTGAAATAAAAGGACAAAGAGAGCAGAAATCTGCCAGAGAGTAGGGCTGCCTCTGCCTGTGAGTGGAGAGATGTGACTTTTGGGGGTCACTGTTTTTGTACACGAGCAGGAAGTACAGAGTGACTGCACGTGGAGCCCATGGGAAAGGGAGAAGCCACCAGAGCCACCTGCCAAGAGAGAAGCACAAGCTTCCCTGGATGGCACAATGGGATCTTCTCTCTGGATAACTCACTGGGCTCTGCTCACTCACAGCTTCAGCCCCTGGCAAGAGGAGGCTGGGGAGGAACAGAGCTGCCTGTGCTGGGGCTGAGAGTCAGACAGGCTCCCACTTCTCCTGAGAAGACAGCTTCCACTGTGCTCCTGAAACCTCCCACCCCAGGTTACTGCCAGGAAAGCTCCCACCAAACACAAACATGTCTTGAGCCACTCGTGCAGTACCTGAGAGGCACCCTGGAGATGCCTGGTGAGAGCCTCTGACTCCAGGGCACCACTGGAGGAGTCAGCCACTGCCTGAGAGGGCCCCAGTGCTCTGCACAGCCTGCAGGGCAGCAGCAGGAGGGACACAAACAACCAGCAAGAGGAGAGGGAGAGGCTGGGAACATCAAGGCAAAATGTAGAAATCCAAGATAAAGAGCAATCATCTTCAGCCAAGGGGAGCTCGCAGCTTGGCTTGCACACAGGTCATGGGAGATCACCTCAGGCAATCCACCAAGAGCAGCCCCGCAGCCCCGAGCTCAGACCTGGCCCATGCCAGGGACACAGGGCAGCATGAGCTGACCCAGGACTTCCAAGAGGAGCAGTCTTGTCAGAGAAATGTCTTTCTTAAGCAATGCTTCAGCTCTGGCAGAGAGGTTGTTCTCCTGCCCCTCATTTCATTGACAAGCCATGTGCAGGGCTTGCCAGCCAGCAAATGCCAGAGGGATGTGCTTGGGGACAAGCACAAACACAACTGTGATGTGGAAAGCTTGAGACATGTCTTGAGAATCAAACCAGCCATTGTTCAGGCCTTTGCAAGGCAGCAAGTTCCCCAGCACTGCTCCTACCCAGCAATCTCAGCCCTAGGAACAAGGCAGGTACAACCTGCTCCACACCTGCTTTGTCCACGTTCACAGCAAAGGCAGACCAAGAAAACTGTCCAAAGTACAAAGAGGCACAGTCCTGCAGTTTCACAGTTCTCATTATTCCAGGCCCCCTGAGAAAAACTGCACAGGAAAATGTGGTTCAAAGGCGCAGGAAAAACTTCAAGGAAATTCCTGGAGAGGAGCAAACCTCAGCAACGTTGTACAGCACCATCCCTCCCCAGAGCCATCATCCTGCCCACTTTTATGGATAGCCACTCCTCAGCACCTTGGTGCCAGGCTGTTTCAGTGCTATAGGTCTGATCACCTGTACCTTCACCACACACGGAGCAGCACAAAAACCAGACAGGGCACCCAGGTGTCCTTGCTGCCAGTCTCTGCCTGCTTGGCTGCTCTTTGAGAGCTGAGTGGAGGAGCAAGACAGCTAAAGAACAACGTGGGCCTTACCTTTTGTACCAGGGGGCTGCAGATTATCTCCAGTCAGCGAACACCAGCCTACGGGAAAGATGTCCCGGGAATCATATCGGCACCAGTAATCGAAGGCACCTCTCCAGCCATCAAATGTTATGAGGACCTCAGAACCTCTCACCTCCCCAATGGTGGCCGGGCAGATGAAGTGAGGGTTCTTCCTGTCCACTGCCTCCAGCTTCATACCTGTCTTGAAGAAGTTTTGGGAAGGAGATGGTGGTTCCTACAAGAAGAAGTGGAATATATGCTCAAAGGGGATATGGCAGAGTTTCCCCACACCAGGGCTGTGCCCTCAGCAGCAAACTCCCCTTCACGAGCAGCTGAAGGGAGTTAGTGAGCTGGATTTGAGCCCCAATATGTGTGCACACACTGGCTGGGCTACACAGCCACTGCCCTTGAATAAAGAGGCAGCAAAGTTCACTACTCGCTGCTGGACTGAACCCAGGGAGTGGGACAGTCCAGAGAGGTGCTGATGTTCCCACCTTGCATTCCCCACTTTGAGCAGCACCTGCAGCTCCAGTGAAAAACCAGCTCCTGCCTCAAGGCCGAGCCCTGAAGCCCAAGGCACTTCCCTGGCAGACCTCTGGCTACATCCTGACATTGCTGTGGCAGAGCTGGAGAGGACACAGGCCTGTCCTAGAGCAGCCCCAAGGCAGAGCTGTGCAATGTCACCTCCTACGGGACCAGCTCTGAGTCTGGTGCTCTGCAGCGAAGGGGCCATTGCCAGAAGGATCTGCACAAACAGTGAAATACCTTGTGAAAAATCCGGACAGGAGCCATCTCTGCTCCATTCAGAGTCTTCAGAAGGAACATGGGCCAGGAGGAGGCATTCAGCCGGAAGCCTGAGGGGAGGGAAGTGGAGATGGAGACTTTTAGACTCTGGGGGGTGACGGATCTGGCAGCACATGCCTGCTCTGATGGGAACTCCCACAACTGCGATCCCATACCACCCTCCTCCCATGCTGAAGTGAGGTGGGACTTTATCCAGATATTCTGAATGCGAAGCATTTGTGTTATTGAAAAGAAACAGCTGGCTGACTGCAATATTCACTTATCACAACAATCCCATTGACCATCCAGACAGAGCACTTTGTGCAGCATCAGTGCTGCCAGCTCCAGCGATCCTGCTGCAGGGGAGACATGAATCAGCAAGTGCACACTCAGGCTATGGAATTTCTTCCTCAACAGGGAATCACAGCTCCTGGGTGGCCTCTTCCACCTCTAGTGTGAGCTGCAGGAAGCTAATCTGAAGAAATAGAGGCTGTGACTTGGCTAGAAAACATTATAGGGAAGGATGTCAGGTTTTGGCTCCACACCTGCTGTGAAAAAAGTGGAGAAATAACAAGAGGGGGCTTACAGGAAGAAAAAAGCAATTTCACATGCTCTGAAGTATGTGGCACTGACTATGACTGTACAACCAACAGCAGGCTCTGGATATTACAGAATATCTTTGTTAAATGTGCATCTTCCTGCACAAGCAATTTCTGCCTCTCAGCTGTTTGGTCTGTGGTTTGAGGGGTTTTGAACGTAATCCTGGCACCGGACCTGCACCAAGAACGTGGCAAAACTTTGCCAAGGTTGCAGTGCTCAGCACAGTTCACCCTGCCAGCCCTGAGCTCTGTCAGATCAGCTTGGAAACCAACCCAAGTAGTCACAGCCACAGGGGATGGGAGAGCTCAGCTCTCACAGCGGCAAAGAAAACATTTTATGTGAATCACAGAATTATCTTGGGCTGGAGGGGACCCACAAGGATCAGCCAGTCCATTCCCTGGCCCTGCCCAGACCCCCCAACAATCCCCCCCGGGCATCCCTGGGGCTCTGGCAGCCTCGGGGCCGTGCCCATTCCCTGGGCAGCCTGGGCAGTGCCAGCACCTCTGGGGGAAGAACCTTTCCCTGAGCTCCAGCCTGCCCTGCCCTGGCCCAGCTCCAGCCGTGCCCTGGTGCTGTCCCTGGAATTATCTGTGTAAAGAAAGAGCAGCAGCAGATGTGTGCACATGGAAAATACCACAGGAAAGAGAAAAGCCTCACTGGGTTTTCTAGGCCCTTGAACTCTGCAGGCAGGAAGGACAACTGCAGCACTAGCTCAGTTACCTGTCTTCATGCTGGGTGCAAAATCATCCAGTTCCACTCCCTGGCTATGGACACGGGATCCCAATGTGCCAGGGCCTCACAGGAAAGAATTTTTTCCTAATATCCCACCTCACCGTGCCCTCTCCTCTGGCACAAGGTTAAGCAGGTGGCACAGAGCAGAGCCGGGCACACGGGCAGCACTCCCGGGGCTGTTTTCCCTGTGCCCCTGTCACCACCGGGACGGGGCTTTGAAGAGATGGGCAGCAGAATCACAGAATGGCTCGGCTTGGAAGGGACCTCAAAGCTCATTCCATCCCACCCCCTGCCATGGGCAGGGACATCTGCCACTACACCAGGTTGTTCCAAGTCCCGCTCAGCCTGGCTTTTAAAATATTATTTGGGGATATGCTAATTGAGAGAGAGACTTATGAAGACACTACAGTTGTTGGGCAGCAGAATGCAAAAGCATGTTAATTTTGCAGGAAAGAATCAGCAAATCAGCTTTCACTGGGCAAAGAAAAAGGAAAGTGTTGTGTGTTTAATGGAAGACCGGAAGAAGTGTTAGACTGCCCAGGCTATTTATAATGTTGTAGCCAAGCAAAATTAAATAAATATACATATGAACAATTGCAAGTGTCCCTTCACATGAGACAGGACTTTAGTGACTGTGACCCTTTTCAGACATTATGTTTCCTGTCCAGGTAACCTGGTATTGAATCCTAGAATCACATGGCAGGTTGGGTTGGAAGGGACCCTGAAGACCAACCAGTTTAATCCCTCTGCCATGGGCCAGGACACCTTCCACTGTCCCAGGTGACTCCAAGCCCCATCTAACCTGGCCTTGGACACTTCTAGGGATGGGGCAGCCACAGCTGCTCTGGGCAACAATCCAGAGCTTCAGCTGCAACCAGGACAAGCGGCTCACCTTGGTGCAGAGACGTCTTTCATCTACACTCTAAAGGATCTGCCTGTCCATGTGCTATGTGGAAATAACCTGGTGTGCTTTACAGACCTTGTGTGTTTCCCAGAGTAGGCAGAGGCAGGCCATGGGCCTCTGTCCCAAGCACAGATCTATAAAAACCCCCAAGCTTTCCCCACCATCAATTTGACCCTCGCTGGACAGCTGAACTCCAGCTCACCCAGTGGAGGCTGCAGCATCCCTCCATTCTTCTCACAGTTCCCAATGGGCTGGATCTCAGCAGAGTCCACCAGCCTCCAGAAGTCGTTCTTGTTGTCGCTGCCGTCGAGGCGCAGGCGCAGGCGGGCGCCCGTCAGCCCCACCACGGTGGCGATGCACGTGGACGTGGTGTTCCGGGGGTCCTGGGCCTCCAGCTTCATACTGATCTTGAACTCATTTGCAGGTGGAGTGTAGGACTGAAAAGAGTGGAACAGGGGCCAGTCAGAGCCAGGATTGCCGATACATGCAGCAGCTGAGGCACGAAGTTTTGGCACTAGGAGTACTGAAACGGAGACTGCTGAAGGCTGACAGCCCCTCCAGGCACAGCACAGAGACACCACAGGGAGCTCAGCAAGCCCTGGCACGTCTGTAACAGACCCCCATCCTTCCATCCTGCATCATCTAGGCAATTAAAGCCTGTTCTCCTGGAATCACAGAATCATTAATGCTGCAAAACACCTCTAAGGTCATCAACTTCAGCTGTTCCCACAGTACTGCTAAGCAGTAACTAACACTAACCCATTAGCCCTAAGCACCACAACTACATGTTTTTTGAACACTTCCAGGGGTGGAGATTCCACCAGTGCCATGGACAGACATTTGCTTGGCCTGATCACCCTTTCAGTGAAGAAATTTTCCTGATATACAACCTGACCCTCCCCTGGCACAAGGTGAAGTTGTTTCCTCTTATCTTGTCCCTGTTCCCTGGGAGCAGAGCCTGACCCCACCTGGCTCCATCCTCTTGTCAGGAGTTGTGCAGAGCCACAAGGTCTCCCCAAGTCTTCTTTTCTCCAAGCTGAGCCTCTTTCCAAGCTCCATCAGCCACTCCAGGGGTTCCAGCCCCTTCCCAGCTCCGTTCCCTTCTCTGGATGTGCTCCAGCCCCCTTGTTTTGAGGGGCCCAAAACTGATCCCAGGATCTGAGGCCCCACCAGTGCCCAGAATAGGGGATCAACCCTCTCCTGGGAAGACTCACGCAGCCAACCCCAGACCCACACAGACACTGATGCTCCCCTCTGCCCAGACTCACACTGATGCTCCCCTCTGCCCAGACCCAGGTGTCCCACACTGATTCACTCCTGCACCCCTGTACTCAGCCCAACCACCTCTGGGCTCAATACCTGCTGCCTAGGGGCTGCTATTCTGTCTCAACAATTGGGTGAATTCTGCTGAAAATCTCCTGACTGAGCAGGATCCACCAAAAGCTGGATCCCTGCCTACTCAGGACACTTTCTCCAAGGCCCATGCTTGACACAGTTAATGGCACACTTGTGCTCCCAACATGCACATCTGAGAGGAAAATCGTCTGTGCTACTCTAAATCTTTTTAATCTTCGCTTCAGCACTTGGATTTCTGTTAAGTCTCCAATATCCTTAAGTATCTTCCTTGCCAAGCCAGTGGTCCATCCCAGGCACAGAACTCTGGGCTCCCCAGTGGATCATTGCCCTTGACCTTTCTTGTTTTCACCCTCTTACCTGCTTGAAACAATGGGCAGGAGCTGGGATGGCACATGTCTCTTTCAGGTACTTCTCCCAGGTGAAGTGACCTGAGAATTAAAAACAAAAGGATTCAAATAGGAACGGATGAGCAAAATTCTCAGCAGCAAAATTCTCAGAACTGGCCAGACTCCTAAGCCAGCAGTTCTGCACTTCTCACAGAGGAGGTGCTCACAGGCAACATGTTTTCACCAAGAACCTCTGATGTTTGTGAGCACAGAAGATTTACAACTGCAACTGACAGGCAGAACAAAGCACAGCGCTGCCTTCGGCATCCTCCTGCCTCGGTGAGAAGGGGCTGCACGGGATCAGGATAACAACCTACAACTTAATGGGAAACACCCAGCACAGATGGGAATCTGCTGAGTCCTCCAGACAACTGTCCCTTACAAACCATTCATTAAACACATCACTCAGTCTGGGGACTGCAAACAGTCACCGTGGGCTACGAGCAGCACAGCTTGGGGGCTGGAACGAGATTATCTTTAAGGTCATTTCCAACCCAAGCCATTCTGTGATCCCATGATTATAAATCATGGATTTAGAACAGGAATCTGCTTTGTGGTGACTGGATGGTCCCCCTGGTCCAGCACAGACACAGCCCAACCCCATGGGCCAGGGATCAGCCCAACCCCAGCAGTAAGTGGTCGGGGCAGCAATTAACTTCCTGAAGTGCCATGAAGTCCACAGGATGGGCAGGATGGGAGCAGGGATCCTCCAAACAGGGATTTCCTGAACTCAGTACCTCAAGCCCCCTTCCACTGAGTGCTGCTGCCAGGGGGAGGCATTTCATCCTTCCCTGCACTTTCCTCACGTACAGCAGGAAGGGTAAAAGCAATATGCCACCCAGCGAAACCTGTTATTAAATGAGGAATTAAAAGCTCCTGTGATCTGAGCAAATCATGACTTTTGCCATTTAAACTGAGCAGCTGGGAGAGGAACCTTCCAGCATGACATTCGCTTGTATTCATCCAAACAGCTCCCCGGAGACCACTGTTTTCAAGGCATTTCAAGAGCATTGGTGGCAGCACAATTAAAGTCAGCCACTGCTTCCCCGAGTCAGGCAAGTTTTTAATCAGTCTATTTTCAAAACAAAAGCTACATTAAGAGCTATTTTAGCTACTGCAGTACACACCACACCTCTGAAAATCGAGGCAGTAAGGTCAGCACACATTGCTTCAGTGCTGCCTCGTGCACAGAGGAGCCTTCATAATCTACAAGCTTCAAATAAGTACAAGGAATGCTGCTTTCTCACCACCTCCCATGCAGATGACTAGTACACTGTTTAAAATGGGGAAAATGAACATAAAAAATACAGTTTCATTGCCACACAGGCTGAATATTGCTGTTTCCAGACTGACAGCACTCTCCATGCCCCAGAGTACTCAGCTCCATCCACTGGCACATATTTTCTTTTCAGCCACAGTCTCACGCTGGGTGAATGAAGAAATTCAGTGAGTTACTGCAATGATGCTCTCACAACACCCAAATTCTTTTGCTTTAATTGAAGATAGGATCTTATACTTGGTTCTGTCAATGAAACTCTTTGTACGAATAATGCGGAGTAAACACCCAGGCAAAGCAAAGCTGGGCACTCTTGGCCTGGAAATGCTTTATGCATCCCACCCCTTAACTCTGGTGGCTGATCTGGGCTCATCTCAGACTGGGGTGGCCCTTAGAGGCTGTTGTCCCCAGAGCACAGAGGATCCCAGGTGACAGTACTGGGATGTGTCAGTCTTAGCCCCAGGCCCTGAGCCAGCAGCCTGAACAGGATCAGCAGTGCCTGACAATTTTATTTAAAAAAAACACAAACTCCCTTCAGCTGGTTTCAATCCACCACTATTAAAAGTTGTCATGGTTTTAATCTTTCACTTTTCACTCCCTCCACACCAAGCCAGGCCATCCCGCTCCCTGCAGCAGCTCACCCCACCACTGAAATCCATGCTGCACAGCCCCAGTGGGAGCAGAGAATTTCTGACACAGCTGCAGGCCTCTAAAAATAGTGTTTGGACATGGAACTTATTTGAGATTAATTCTAAAGCCTGCTGGGATTCAACCACTGTATGAAGACACACACAGCACTAGAACTGCAGCTTCTCTAGGACCTGAGGGAACAGCGTGAAGCTGGGCCAGGGCAGGGCAGGCTGGAGCTCAGGGAAAGGTTCTTCCCCCAGAGGTGCTGGCACTGCCCAGGCTGCCCAGGGAATGGGCATGGCCCCGAGGCTGCCAGAGCCCCAGGAGTGTTTGGACAGCACTGCAGGGATGCACAGGGTGAGGTTGCTGAGGAGTCTGGGCAGGGCCTGGGGCTGCACTGGCTGATCCTTGGGGTCCCTTCCAGCTCAGGATATTCCGTGATTCTCTTATTCCTATGACTAATGATTCTGGAGATTTATTTTGCAAAGAAAAGCAGGAGCTGCAGAAAGACTTCTAAGAAAAGACAGAGCTGATACAGCAGTGTTCACTACCAGCCATCTCCTTACACACAGGTGGCAGAGCAAGCACAGGTACAACCTGCACTTCTTTTTCAAGATTACCCTCAAAACAAGGTAAAACTGCAGACTGCAGTTGGAAGCTGCCACCACACTCTTAGCATGAGAGGAAATCCTGCACTTCAGGCCCTTGTCCTAAGTCCCTCTCTGCCTCCCTCCAGCACACTGGATCTTCTTCACAGGAAGAAGTGAGAGAAAGACACTTAAATGAGAAACACCCTGTTTTTGCAACTCCATCTGTGAGCCAAACAAAAGCCAAGGATTGGGAATCCATGGGACTCCCTGTGACTTGGCTGTGGAAATGCCACTGGGGTGACTGTCTGTCACTTGTGCTTGCCTTGGGAAAGCTCCTGGTCGTGTGCTCATGCCAAAGGCAGATATTACTTCCAGGCAGAGAGTCAGATTTGGGCTCTGATGTCTTAACCTCCAAAAATATTTACTCCAAACAGAACACTCCACAAACCCAAGGGGTCAAACTGCAGTAGTTGTGAACAGTGCAGCTCTGCACCCTCATGTTTTGATTCTCTTCATGTTGCATTTAACATTTATCTTTTGCCCAGAATTTAAATGAAGATGGAGTTTCTGTTTATATCTTGAACTGAAGTCTGGTTTGGGCTCCATTAGCATTTTGGCTCCCGAGGGGTCATCAATCCAACTGAAACAATACATGTGTGTTTCAGGTCACATCTGTGAAGGAGAACGTGCCCTACCCAGATCAAGGCATCCCATTAAAGTCTGCAGCCCATATGTGTGGCTGCTAAGGAGCACCAAGGCAGCACATGAAAGCAGCACAGCTTGAGGCAGCTCGGTATGAAAATGAGCAGAGCATCGTCTGGGCTGGCAGATCCCCGGTGACAGGGCTGTCCCTGATGTCTGAGCATGCCCCCCGAGGGGTCAGCTCTCCCACAGCACAGCTCCTGCCTGTCCCACCCCACCCCACCCCATCCCAGGCACTTTGCTCAGCCATCAATCCAGCTCCATCGGTAACGTGAGCCCCACTGCTCTGTGAGTAAAAACTCACAGCTCTCAAACACCAGGGTGCTGTCTACTCTGTCCTGCTCTCCTCAGAGGTTTCCCAATGCAGCTTTGACCCTAAATTCTGCTAGCCTGGATTACAGGGTGCTCTGTGCCAGAAAGATGCTGCAGTTTTACCCCCTCACTGTGCAGAATTACAGAATGGTTTGGGGTGGAAGGGACCTTAAAGCCCATTCCTCTCCACCTTCCACTGTCCCAGGTTGCTCCAAACCCTGTCTAACCTGGCCTTGGACGCTCCTAGGGATGGGACAGCCACAGTTTCTCTGGGCACCCTGTGCCAGGGTCATCCCAGCCTAACAAGAATTTCTTCTCCATGTCCCATCTAATCCTGCTCTCTGACAGTATGATGCCATTCCCATTGGTCCTGTCACTTCAGACCCTTATCCAAAGTCCCTCTTCAGCTCTCCTGGAGCCCCTTGAGGCACTGGAAGGAGCTCTATGGTCTCCCCAGACCTTTCTCTTCTCCAGGCCCAAACCCTATAAAGATGTGCCCAAGTTTTGGGCAGTGCTGCTCAGTTTCTTGCAGGTGAGCAGCAATATTCACTGCTGCACCATGCACTTGTCAAAAAACCAAAATCTTCAGAAATCACACAAGGGAGAAGGGAGGACAAAAAAAAGCAGGGAGGAAGAAGGGAGCTGTCTTACCTTGGTACTGGGAGGGAGACTCTGATGGGCGGCTGTACTTGTGCTTTTTACCATCTTTCCAGTCTATGGCTGAGACAAGAAACAGAGCATTTGTGTCAGGCACAGGAGCCAGATAATGCACCCTTCTACACTATCTGTGTTCCAGGCACTACAGAGGGAGCAGTGCCCTCCCTGCCATGACCCCAGCATGGATGATTTGCCTCTGTCTCTGCTCTCCACAGCTCGTGCAGAGACCTGACAGGAGGTATCTAATGTGCCCCTCAGTCCCTGTTTAGTTCCCACCAGCCACTTTCTTCAAAGACAAGCAATAACGAAGAACAGCAAACTGCTAGAGCTCCATCATTTTAGCTATGAGAAGAAGGGCTTGAGAGGAACAAACATAACAGCCACTAAAAATGGCTCATGTGAATCTTTGGTGCAGAATGGCTCCTTGTATATCTACTCCAGGTTATTCCACACAAGCAACATCAACCATTTGTGGTGACAAGGGAGAGGACTTCTCTGAAAATCCGCACAAGTGCCCTCTCCACACACAACACTAGGTTTCCTTGTGTCCCTTGCAGCTCAGAGGAGAGCACAGCAAAGCAGCACCAGCTCTGCAGAGCAGCTCTCCTGAGCTGTGTTTGTTCATCACAGCTCTGGGTCTCACAGCTCTTCAAAAAAATTGAAGATCTCAAGACAGCTCTGGAAAGTGGTAGAGCAAGAAGTGGGGAATGCTTATCCTGGCCTCCAGCCCTGTGCCATGGCAGACTTCACCCTGAGCCAGCTCCTCAACCTGCTGCTGCCAGGCTGGGCACCCTGGGAGTGCTGCTGCACTCCAGCTCCTTTATTTTACAGACCATTTTTAGGGCTATTATAGACAGCAGCTTGGTAGCGCCCTATGAAATGTACCTTACCCCCATGAAAAACATTTCCTTGTGAAAGGAAAGGTTTTGAAATCTCCTGAGAAGTAACTGGAAGAGGCAGGCTAAGAGCTGCTTCTAAAGTGGCCTGGGGTGTCTTGACTTGTCTGGAACTGCTTTGGGACAATTATTTTTACAATCTTCTCTTCTTGATATGTTCTTTTCAGCACAGTGGACAGGACAGCATGTAGGTTTTACTGCTCTGGAAAGTGATAGAGCAGGAATTGAGGGATGCCCACCCTGCCTCCAACAGCCTCCAACCCAACAGAGGGATGCCAGATCAGCATCCCTTAAATGAACACCAGGGACATATGGAGTGTGGCCACAGCGTCACTGACATGGGCCAGACAAAGAGCCTCCTTGGAGAGACATAAATGAATGAAAAGGATTGAAGGACACCCTTCCTAATAAATGCATTACCACAAGGCACAGTATTGTGCCATGTCCCTAAGAAAGCAAGAATAAAGGACATAAAGTATTTAAGTCAGAAGTAAAAGAGCCCCCTGGGTGGGTAAGGCTCCCCTCGGTGCTGCAGGACAGCTCTAACAGCATCCGTGCACTCAAAGGAGCTCCTCACCATACTCTGCAGGTGAAGGTACTATTTGTTCTTAACCTTTAACATGCAAAAATCCTCATTAAGCAGGATACAAAAGCAGCAGAAAGAGAGAGAAACAAGAATTTCTGCAGACAAATAAAGAAACAATGCAAGTTCAATGCATTATTAAAAAAGCAGGTAAGTAGGACAGAAACCCACATGTGCACGGTGCAGGTGCTGCCTCTGCAGCCTACAGCCTGGCATTGTGAGCCCAGGTCACAGAGGCAGGCTGGCTGGAGGCTCCAGGAGCACAAGAACAAGCTGTGAGTGAGGCTGAATGCAGCCAGCCCGGCCTCAGCCACGCTGCTGACTAATCAACCAGCCTCCTTTATTGCCAAGCCCTCCAGCTGCCTCACAGCAGGGTTTCCCCATTCCCTGCTTTCCTTCATTTATTTTCACTTCATTAAAGGACAAGCAGTGTTAGGAAGAGGATAATGCTGCTGTAAGATGAACCACGACAGAAGCAAAGGAGACATTTAAAAAAAATAAAGGGAGGAGAGAAATCGAGCATAGAAATCTCCTGCAATAAACCTTGGGAGTGTGGAGCAGATGTGAACAAAGAGCTGTGGAGGATGCTCCATCCTCTCGCTTCTCCCTTCCCCCCTCCTCCCTGATGAGATCACTCCAGTCAGACGCACATGCATGGCACAGCACTAAAGGAAATCAATATTTTTGTTAAGCACAAGAAGCCAGAGCAGCTCAGCTGCAGGCAGCCTGCTTGGCTTCACCCTTTTTGTTGGGGATGCAGGACCCAGGAAGCAAGTGCTGCATGAGGGGCCAAGGGACTCATGGCAGGGTAACCCCCTGACAGATTTCCTCTCCACAAGGTAGGCTGGTTTCTGGTTTCATGCCTCATTAGAGGGGGCAGGCTGTGCCAGCACAGGCAGTTTGCCTCACGCTGGGAGCTCTGCCAGATGGTGCCCTGGGTCCTGCAGGGCACCCTCGCTGCTGACACTGCGCCCCACGAGCTGCAGGGATGGCCCAAAAAAGGACTCTCCTCTTCCTGTCACAGGTGTGGACTGATGAACTGCTCTCTGCACATTGATTGAGACACACACAACTCTGTTTCGGGCTTCCAACCACGTCCCCCCAGCTCCCAGCCCCCTGAGGCACTCCAGGCCACAGCAGCTCACTGCAGGGCCCTGGGCTGAGCCAAGCATCACTGCTCACCTTTCTGAGGGCCTGGTTTCCGCATTCTACCACCTGCTGCTGTCCTTATCCTGGGACTGGGCTGCTCTTACAGAACTGAAGATGTCTAGGACAGAAGAAATAAAGATGAGAAAATTCCCCATTCTGGAGCACACAGTCATCTGCAGCATGAACTCATCACACAGTGGGGGGAAAACCATGCTCTGTCACCTGGGGTAGGACAGAACACACACAGCTCATTTCAGCTCCTGAAACAACAAGACTTTCTCCAATTTGTGGACAAGACTAAATTCATGGCAACAGAAGCAGCATAAAAAAGCACAAGGAGCACATGCCTGTCTCTGTGCTAACCCTACAGTGGGTCCAGAGTGTGTGTGTGGAAGGAGGGGCTGCTCCCACTCACTAACAAAGGGAGGCAGAGCTGGAATTTATGAAAGAAAACACATGGAAACATAACATTAACTCTGGCAAAGCAGCACAGCAATCCCCAGCTTGCCACTTACAATTCAAATTGCTCGCAGCAGTTCTGGGGAATAAGGATGAGAAATTGGACAATGACCCAGGAAATACTTTTGCTGTTAGTATTGCCACAAGTGTCCAAGTTGTGTTGCTTTTTTTTTTTTCCTGGTTGGAGGAAAACTGGCTGGACTGTGCCCAACAGCAAAAGCATTTGCATTGTTGTTATAAAGAAATATTCCTGAAAATTCAGAGCTCTTGGGAGATGTGTGGCGTACAGGGACCACATGTACAGGGACCCAGCACTCCAGCACAGCCACTTTGACGGGGCTGTGCCACACCCAAAAAGCCCTGCCAGAAAACACCCAAATGAATGGCTGAGCCACAAACAAGCCCTTGGGAAAGCCACGAATAGCCTGTTTTGACACTCCACTAACTAATGAAAGATTAATTGTATCAATATAATTCCATTTTGTTCACAGTGGGGCAGTCAGAAGGAGGAAGCTGTCTCAGGACGCAGCACTGAGTAGCTGCTTAAAGAGTTATTTACAGATCCAACTTGGCAAGAATTTGGGGTTTTGAAAACCAGGCTTTTTCTAAATGTAAGTGAAATAGAGTTTAATTTTCTGTAACAGCTCCACAAACTACGGCCTCTTTACATGCAACAGTGAGCAATACTCTGAGAAGAAAAACACTGAAGGAATATTAAAGGAAAAAAAATCCTGGTTGTTTTTTAAATCTAAATCAAAAGGTGCACAGTAGTCACTTATTGCCTCACTCCTAAATAGTGTGTGTGTCTGTACACACTTGTGTGTACAGGAGTAAGGTTCATTTCCCTTTCAATAGCAGAAGGTAACCTACATGTGAAAGGTTATTTACAATTTTTAAAGCTGCTTTTCATAATTTTCTTCAGTCATTTTTATTAAAGACCAGCAGTCCTGGCAGGAAAAGTCCCCTAGACATAAAAACCCAGGCTGAAAGGAGTTTATATATAAAGGCACCAGACAAGCCTTCGTCACCTCTGGCTCTGCCCCTCTGCTGTCTGTGGGATGAAATTTCTCAAGTACCCACACACATAAATCTCATGTGTTTGGCACAGGAGTTCCTGTGCCCCTCTGAGGGCTTCTGAAAAGCTGTTTCAGCTTGAGCACCTCAGAGCCTACCCTTCAGAAGTATTGGAAGAAAAAAAAAACTGTGACTGTGTTTGAGCTGCTCAAAGAGGGTTTTTGAAAAGTTATGGCCCAATAACCCTAATGAGGCTCAGGGGGACCTTCTCACCCTCCACAACTCCCTGACAGGATGGGGCAGGTGAGGGTCAGTCTCTTCTTTGAGGGAACAAGGGACAGTTCAAGAGGAAAGGGCCTCAAGATGTGCCAGGGGAAATTCAGGTTGGACATCAGGAAGAATATCTTAATGGAAAGGGTTGTCAAGCATGGGAATGGGCTGCCCAGGGAGGTGGTGGTGGACTGAAGAAATGTAGCAGCCTGAACTCATAAAGAGCACAAAACAAAGAAATGACTGGATGTGGCACTAATGCTCTGCTGTAGTGGACATGGTGGTGTTCAGTCTTGATGATCCTGGAGGTATTTTCCAACCTTAAAGATTCTATAATTCTGTGATATTGATAAAGCACAGAACTGACTGCTGGTATCCCTCAGTCAACACTGCAGCAGGCTCTCAGCAAGAACTCAGGTCATGGAAGAGAATCAGATGTTGTAAATGTCCAATTTAAATAAATAAATAAACAAACGGTGACTCTTCCTCAAAGTAAGAGACTTAAGCTGCATGGGGAGTCCCACTTTGCTGAGAGCCACATGAGTGCCAGCTCAAGGACACTGCACTCTAAAATATGCTTCCAAGCAACTGCCCAAATGTGACAGCCCCAGCCTGACTCCTGCCACAGCTCTGCACCACCCAGATCCCCGTACATCTCACATAACAGGGCAGCAACATGTGGGTTAATCCTGCAAAATCCTACCTCAAGGGAAAAAAGAATCAAAATAATTTGTGTGCTCAGAGTCCTGCAATGCCTGCAGAAGAGGCAGAGTCATGATGCACAGCTTCAGCCTGCGGGTCCCAGGGGCAGCTGGACCTACACAGCCAGATGGGAGCCACCAGCCTCACTGCATCCCAGGGACAGGGACAGTTCCTGCCCCAGGATGCAGGGATGCCCTTCTTCAGCCATGGAGACAGACACCGTACCTCAGCCCTCCTGAAACTGGTGCAATCACAACTGGGAGGGATCCACAAGCATCACCTAATCCAGCCCCAAGAGTCCCACCCTGGGGGTGTCTGAGAGCGTTGTCCACATGCTCCTGGAGCTCTGGCAGGCTTAGGGTCATGACCATTTCCTGGGCCAAGAACCTTTTCCTCATATCCAGCCTGACCCTTCCCTGACACAGCTCCAGCCACTCCCTTGGGTGCTGTCCCTAGTCACAGGGAGCACCAACAGGAGCTGCCCCTCTGCTTTCCCTGGGCTTTACTAACACAGGGCTTGTGAACTGATGATTTCCACTGACTGTAATTTATAGCTGCCCAGAGGAGCTGTAAAATCTCCACCCTTGGAGATACTTCAAACATCACCAGCTCCCTCCCTTGCCAGCCTAATCTAACCTTGTAGCTGACTCTGACTTCAAAGTCAGCCCCTCTCTGCATACAGCATTGGACCAGACAATCCCCAAAAACTCCTTCCAACCTGAAACACTCAGGGACTCTATCTCACTAACAACGGATTGCATGGCAAGAGGAATCACTCGATAGGTTTTGACAAGGCTGAAATGCCCCAGTGAGGAGAATTCAGTGTAGAGAGAAGAAAGTCAAAGGCAGAACAGACAAGCCCACAGGCACCTGTGGACAGAAGCACCATGGTACCAATGGATGCAACCTTTACTCCATTCAGGGACTGATGATTGAAAAAATGGGAAAAGTAATAAATAGCAGAAGATACAGACTGGTATCCAAGGGGCAAAACTAGGCTACCCACAGAGACAGATCTTCCAGAATCACCTCAGGCACAAACATGCCCCTGATGAGGACCTGTTGGCTGGATCCATGGCACATAGGACATAGTCTTACTGTTGCATCAAATAAAGCCTTTGAGATTTCCACAGCCCAGCACACCCTGCAATGCTCCATCTCCAGAGCCTGACACTTGCACAGAGCTGCACCCCAGAGTTAAAACTCCCCTTGCTTTCAAAAGCTGTGTTTCTCCTGCTTGTGGAGATTAAGATAATCTCCCAGGCATGAATTACAGCATTACAGAGTTCTGGTTTCCAGAATTTATAACCTGAAAGGACAGATCACTGTGCAAATTCATTTCAGCAGGATGCTACCTTAAAAACGTAAAAAGACCAACTAATTTGCTGCCTTTAGTAGCATATGAAGTTCCTCTCCCAGAGTTTCAAACAACTTTCACTCACCGAGATATCAAAAGTGCCAAGGGCCCCACTGAACTGTCATGGGCTCTAGTTCCCCATCACTCCTACAAGACAGCAGAGTCAGTACAAACACTGCGGCATAGCAAAACCTGAAAGCAGAGAGACAAAATGAAAAAGTTTGCATTTAATTGCAGAAAGGCTAAGTTATCAGCTGCATTATTCATGTTCATATTTAATTCATTTAAAACATCCAAATTTAAATTTAAAGACAGCTGTAACAAACATTCCCACTTGCACTCGCAAAGCAGCACAGAACTTGACACAATTTAAGTTCAGCTTGCAGGGAGTACACGGGACTGCGGCTGTTAAACACCTTTGATATGAGTAAGATCACATCAACTGAGCTGATAGAAACTAGTTCAGCTTTTGTAAAATGAAACTATCACACAAAGGAGGATTGAAAAGACTAGACCTGATTAGTAATGAAAAGGAGAGAGACCACAGGAGAGGCATATAAAATAATGAGTAGCATGAAGAGAGAGAACTGGGGACTCCAAATTATCCCTTCCCAGTGCAGCAGAGCAAACCTACAAAAGTAAAAAACTCCCAAGTATATACCAGGGAGAAGGAACAGTTCATTGGAAATTAACAGACATGCAACTTCCTTATGGAGGAAGTTATCAAGAGAAGTAAAGGAGTAACCTTAGAAATGACAAAGACATTGAAAAGCCATCAGTATTTGTAAGGATATCGAAGTATGAGACCCATGGGCCATCAGCACCCAGGGCCACAAGGCCTTGAATGAGTGCTGGGTGCCCAGCCAAACCCTGCCCACCACAACAGTGCCTCAGCTGCTGTGCTGTGGCAAAGGAAAGCTGAGCCCTGCCCTCCTGCCAGGCTGCTGACTCCGGCTCAGGACATGGTTTGTTCACACCCTGGTGAGCCCTGCGCTGGGTTACACTGACGTTCACACCTCTGAAGCATTTTCCTTTTCCTCAGGCAGCAGAGAGGCAGGCAGGGCTGGGAGAGCATCCCAGGGCATCCCCACTCCGAGCGCTGCTCTCTCCAGCACTGCGGAAATGCATCTTAATCTAATTAAGTTCTCCCCCCACTGCTCTTGCCAACAGGCTCTTCCAAAAGCTCATCCCTAGGGGCAGTCAGATTCAATTTACCTGCGCCAGATTGGAAGGCAACTGCAGGGTTACAGGGGAGCCTACTCTGCAATATTCTTGCACAAAATCTGGCAACTGCAATATCAGTAAAACAAAAATGAGAAAATGTGGATGGAAGATGCTGTCCCATCTTTCCAGACCTCATGAGATGCATGTAATCCCTTTATCTCCAAAGCCTCCGCTCCTTCGGAGCGCATAATTATGAAAAGAGTTAGAGCTGAGGCTCTTAATGTCTCTTCTAGGCACTTCTTTATTCCACTCAAGGCACCAGTCGCATCTGAATTATTTCCTGGGGTTGTTTGGACTTCCTATTGTACAAGGATGATTATGGTGAACCTTGGGACGGAATCCAAGTCAGATCTCAGCACTACCATGTTTGATTGAAAGGGAACCTGAAGCTTTGTTGACAGCGTGCCAAGCTTCAAACCTCGCTGGACAATGGTGCTGCCAGCAGGCCAGAGGCTTTCAGGGACAAGAGGAAGAAAACCACCAACAGCGAAGCTGGAAAATGGTTTTATTAGGCTGGATACATACTCCACAGATTAGGATTGGGAGAAAAAAAAGGAAACTCTGCATGTTGACAGAAGACTGTGAGAATGACGCTTCTTGGAAATCCCATGGGGCTGCCACAAGAGAATCCTGACAGTTTCTCATGATGCAAAGTCCCTGCAGTCATTGATTTGTTCCCCACAAAAGCACAGGTCTGGAGCACCACGACCACTGCAGCCACTGAAAATCCCTTCCATGTAACCTTTGCTTCAGCTGAGGTTTTCTTCACAGTGATGTTTCCACCAAACGCCATCAGTGTTTCCAGCAGTAAAAAGCTGTCCCTTACAAATTCCCCCAGGAAATGTGAGGGCAGCACTGTAAGCCCCAGCTTGTCATGAGTGATGGCAGCACTGCCACTCCAGCCTCCCTGCTGGGATGTTTCAGCTCCATTCTGGAAGCTCCTGTGTGACCATGGGTTACACAGGCACATCCAGTGGCATCCCAACCCAAACAGAGAATCAGGCACATGATGAGCAGGTCATGTGAATTACAGAATATCCTGAGTTGGAAGGGATCTATGAGGATCATCAGTTCCAACTCTTGACCACGCACAGGCCACCGCAACAAACCCACCACATCCCTGAGAGCATTTTGCAGATGTTCCTTGAGCTTTGGCAGCCTTGGAACCATGACCATTCCCTGGAAGTCCCATAACCCTCTAGGGGAAGAACCTTTTCCAAACTCAGCCTGCTTGCTCATTTAACAGCTATTTTTGCAATTTTTAATTTCTATGGTGCAGAAAGAAAAGCACCTTTAGCCTACTGAGAAATCAGAGCACAATCTGACTCCTCTTTTAGTTTTCACACCAGACTTGGCTCCTCAGATTTCTGCCTGACCTGTGGACACCAGAACTTTTGCTGGTCTAAACTACAGTTTTTGATCTCAAGGCATGCATTGATGAGCCAGCTGGGCAGAAGCCAAAGACCAGCTCCCAGGATGGAGCACCAGCCTTCTCAGAGCCAGGCATGCAGGCAAGGAGTCCTAAACCAAAATGCCAAATGAATGCTTATGTGGGACCTGGACTAAACTCTCAGGAGTGATCAGCTTCCAAGTGAAAAGGTGAGTCAGAATTTATCCTAAACAATGATTTGAGTTCCTTCCACCTCCGTTACCATCCTCCTGACCAAGACTGGGGTTTTATTTCTCTTTGTCTGTGCAAAGTTATGTTTTTGGCAGCTCCAAACAAAGGCTGATGAAGATACAGCACCTTTGGAAGCATCTCCCCTCATCAGGTCAGGAGAGACCTCACATTCATGCCAGGAAATATTTCTAAGTAACACTGTACAATGAATGCTGGTATTTCCATCTGCAGTACTGATCCCCTTGTGTGATCTGAAATACCTGATGGCTGTAAACCATTACTCCTCTTTCTACCAGAAGGATTTTCTGTCATTTCCAACATCTCTCATTCTCTGGAATTAATTTTATCCTTCTGTCATGTAAGAAGTGGACTGATGAACTCCAGACTTCACGACAGGCTCCTCACAAACACATTCTTGTGTTAACACGCTGAGGTGTCTTGGAGATGTGATCACAAGTAACACACTTCCTCAGCCCCTGGGCCAAGTCTCACAGGAGTACATATTTTAAAAGACAAAAACACATGAAAAACTTGGATAGACAAGGTTTCTACAATGAAAATATTGATTTTATGACTTCCTTTTGAACATCTTCAGGTTGGTGGGGAGCGGAGATAACTCAGCCTCCCAGGAAATGGCAGCTGGACCACCAGACACTGCTGGGTCAACCTCAAGAGATCACCCTCAGGGTGAGTACAAAAACCAGGGATCAGTGAGAGGAACCACCACTGTGAGCAAAGCTAGAACAGTTACCACTGCTCATGATTGTGGAAGAAATTAAATGAAACCTTGCAGATTTTCAATAAGGATTTCCTTCCCTATCCAAAAATAACCCCAAAAAACAACCCAAACAAAAAAAAACCCCAACAAAACCAGCATGAGCCTTGGATCAAACTAAAAACATCCTGACATGTATCACTGTGAGCAGACCTTGCTCTCCACAAAGACTGAAGAGGCTGCAATAAAGACAACATATTTGGCACACCCCAGGAACAGGATACCCAGGCTGAAAGAAATGGAGAGATAAAAGGGCTTCAAATAAAAGACAAATAAGATAATCTGACTTGAGGCTGCTAAAGGAAGCCCCTTAACAGGATGAGTTTTCTCAGTACAGACACGTTTACTGATGAGCTGGGAGTCACAGCTCCGTGGCTGCCATTTCTGTAGTGAGGGGGATGAGCACTCCAGCCCTGCAAATCCTCCTTGGAAAGATGGGGCTTGACTGCTGTGAGAAGTTCACACATTGTTGAAAATCAGAGCTGCTTCTAAGACCGGTATTGGTTTCACACCCATTCAAATAGAAAGAAAATAAAAACCTAAAGCCTCCCCATGCAGGGAACATGGACTCATGGAATAATTTGGGTCAAAGATCCTCTTGTTACAAGCCCCTTGACATGGTGCCCTAGGTTATAATATTGGGGTGTATTCCATTACCACCTCGAGCTGCAATCCCTTTCTTTCCTTATCTCATATCTCAGAGATCAGTCCCTCCAGGAGGAGCTGTCCTTTCAGCCACACGGCTGATAAGATCACAGCGTTCTATTGTGAGATGCTCCGCCCAGAGGGAGGAGCCAAACGATGCCATCAAGGATATCAGCGGGGTTGTGCAGATAGCAAGGAGATCCTCTCTTCCAAGAGGAACAACTGAGATCTTCTCTGCACTGGACCTCCAGAGGGAAACTCCATCAGTCTGCAGGAGCACGGCTTGGACAGAGCCACATCTGCCACCACCGCCCCAGCCAGCGAGTGTCAGGCTGTGTCTCTCACTCTGCCAGTGGTTCTTCTTTTGTGCTATTGTATGAATTTGGTTCTTTGTTCCCTTTTTCCTAATAAATTGTATTTCTGACTTAGAGCCTCTCACTGGGCAGGGATTCACAGCATGCAGAGGATGCTGTGCTGCTCCTCCCCAGACAGGACCATGTCCAAGGCTTGGAGCCAGGGCCTGGGCTGCCTCCCATTGCCATGGACAGCGAGTGGCCCACCTTGAACTCGTGCTGATGTGGTGCACACTTTAGCTAATCATACAAATCCCCTGTGGTAACAGCCGGGGGTAAAGAAGCTTCACTGTGCTCCAGAATCATTTCAGCAAATCCTTCATGGCTGGTCCTACTGTGGAAGTCACTTTGAGGTTCTCCCTCTGAGCTGAGCAATGTCCATGTCCCACATCCCAGTGTGAAAGATGCCACCAACACCATTGCCCTCTACAACTGTTCTGAAGGAGATCTGGGAAATGCTGCAGATCTCTGTTTCTGGGTGTTAAGTGGAGACATTTCTGACCTGTACCTCTCCCAAAAGCACTGTAACAAAACTCAGCACAGAGACCTGCTTTTGGGGCAGGTAAGGTGCCCG